CGTGCCCTGGGGCTGTGCTCGCGCGCGGGCGCCGCGGCACCGCTCGGGCGCGCGCACTCTTTCCGTGAGGCGATATCGCCCACAGGCGATTGTTTGACCATTCGACGCCATTTTTGTTTTTTTTGGGGGGGGAGGGGAGTAGGTTTTTTGCTTGTTCAAACTGTTCGTCCAGATTCCCCCTGTAGGGGGACAGGCCCCACCGAAGTCCGGGGCGGTGCCGTGGTGCCGCGGCGCGGGCAGCGCGGCGCACAGCGCAGCTCTCCAAGGTTCAGGCGATCGTGCACATGGATCAAGTGGGCGTGGATCAGCTTTCCATGGGAAGTCGTGGATTTCCTCCGCCGAGCGAGGCGGCACCGGCCGCACTCTGGGGAGGGCACCTCCCCCGATCCATGGATTTGGCGACCGCGCGCCGAGTCCATGGATGGCCAATCCATGCTTGCGCGCCCCCGAACTCTTTCTCGACAAGGGCCCTCGATGGGGCACCCAGGATCGTCGACATTGAAATCGACAGAATGCACGAAGTCGGGGCAGCTGTGCACAGGGAGGGCGCTGCCCTCCCGACGTCGGCTCCCTCGAGCGCGGGCGGTGCGGGGCGCCGGCCCCCCCCCCCCGCCCCCCCCCGCGGGGCGCGCAGGACATCAGCCAGTCGCTGCGGACGTGCCGCGGGAACGAGAAGAACACCATCCTGAAGCAGATCCTGAGAGAGTCTGGTCCTCGAGAGCAGAAGAACCCCTGACCTTGTGCTGTTCTAACCTAACGTGAGCCCGGATCACCAGAAATAATGTCGACCACTCAAAAAGCTTGACGGTTTTCACGCGTCGGGCTTTGGGAGACACTCGTGCGACACTGTTTCGGCACTGATTCGACACTTTTTCGACACTTGTCCGGGTGCTCGAAATTATTTCTGGAATGTGGTCCTTAAGTACGATGGGAGCAACATAACCCTGACCCTAGTGATCGCTTTTTTATTCATTGTTTTGCCGATCGGCGCGGGCCCCCAAACCAACCCCCCTCCTCCCCCCCCCCCCCCCTGTGGAGTGGATATCGGCTGTCTTTTGGCGCCCGTTTCGAGCGGGTGGAGTCTCCCCCAGAGGCAGCACTGGTGCAAACAGCCGCACTGAGCAGAGGTCCAGAGCCAGACCTCCTCCCCCTTCCGCCCAATGTCGAAACGCGGAATAAGAGAACGCTCACCATCGAGAACAGACGACGCCCTAACCCTAATAACACGATGAAGACGTGGCCTCACTTGGGTCCCCACTTTCGCACCAGGTATACTGCATCTGCGCGGCTCGGTCCGACACATCTGCAGAGAAGACCCCCTGTCCCCACTGTTTTTGGCCCTCCTAATGTAGGTCCCCGCCCAAAGCATTAGGGGGTACTTTCATTGCTTATCAGGCGTTGCCGACCGAAGCAACAGCGCCGCCAAGGGCCTCGTGTTCTGCTCCACCAAGCGCATGTGCGATCAGCTCTCGTCGGACATCGAGCGGTCCGGGACGCCCTGCTACGCGGTGCACGGCGACAAGAAGCAGAACGAGCGAGAGCTCGCCATCAACGGATTGAAGGAGGGCAAGATCAAACTCCTGGTCTGCACTGACGTCGCAGCCCGTGGTCTCGACATCAAGGGTACTTGGGAGTTGGGACAGGGCATCTGACCCAACCCTTCCTCCTCCAGCCCCCATCCCATCGCAGTTTCCCTCCCCTCTCTCCCCCTTTTCTGACGTCGGTGGTCACGTGGTTTCCTCTTACTCTCACCCAGGTGTGACGCTGGTTGTGAACTACGACCCGCCCAGCAATACAGAGGACTACGTGCACCGCATTGGTCGTACCGGTCGTGCTGGGCAAAAGGGCAGTGCGGTCGCGCTTATCTCCGAGCGCGACACCCATGCCCTCCGAGGAATCATCGAGGTAATGAAGCGCACCAACCAGGTGATCACACCCGAGATCGAGGCTCTTGGGCACGCCGCAAGAGTACCCATGTCTTACCCTGCACTTTTCACAGGGCGTCGGCCTCTTTTTGCTGCTGCTACCTCTACCCTTCCCTCCTGGACTGGGGTCTATCGACTAATCTCCTTGGTGTCGCTGTCGCTATTCGCAGGCAAGGCGCAGGCATGATCTGTCATGCTAGGATGTCCGAGCTGAGGCGGAACCGAGCCGCGTGCATCGAGGCTGGAGCAGATGAGTCTCAAGACCGGCTCGTCCCATGCACTGGCGATGCAGCGCGGTCGGTCTAATCGGGAACTCGATCTTCTCCATCTTCTCCATCCTGTGCCGACGCCGCCGATACATCGTCCACGCACGTGCGCTAGGCTGCGACCCTGTTCCACGAGCCGCCGTTCGGGGTGGCAGCGCGATTCTTGCCGTCGGCTGCTGTTGCCCATGGGCGCGCACAGCGGCAGCTCAGGTGTGCAGGTCACCCAAGGGCTCCCTCGAGGGCGCGAAGTTATTCGCGCTTCGCGCTTCGCGGTCCTCGTTCCTTCTCCCCCTCCTCCTGGTCCTCCTATTCTCCCTTTGGGAGGGCGGCGCGAGAGCGCGAAGTTATTCGCGCTTCGCGCAGCGCGAAGCGCGAAGTTGGGAGCTCTAGTAAACTTTGGCGCCACAGGGAGGCGCTGCTCACTGCCCCGCGGAGCCCCGTGGCGACCCCCCCCCCACGCACGCCGAGGTCAGCCCCCCACGCGATCCGATCCCACCCCCCTGGGGGTTGCGAAAGGTGCCCGTGGCCCAGGGTGCCCACGGCCTTTCGCTCAGTTCTGGAGCTCCGTGGGGCCCCCTGGGCCTCGCGATGGGGTGCTCTGGAGGCCGTGGGGGGCCTCTTTGGAAATGCTGGGGGCACCTTGGGCCAGGAGCACTTCTGGCAACACACGCCCCAAGTCCGCGCGAGGCACGCCCCCCAACTCGCTCCTTCCAGGTCCCCCGCCCGGGCGCGAGGAGGATCGCGCTTCGCCGCCCCCGCGGCCCGGGCCGCGGGGTTTCTCTCTGCTCCTGGGGGGGACTGCGCGGGAGCGCGACAGGGATCGACGGGTGCGCCTCCCGCGGCGCGAAGCGCGACCCTACGGCAGAGTTCTGCGGCGATGGCGCGCTGGCGACGCAGGCGACTGCCATTCCAGGTGCAGCTCCGCAGGCCCAAACGACGCGGGAGCACCGAGGGACACGGTGCCGCCACGGGACCCGAAGAAGTTCCACCTCGAATGCGCAGGGCCGTGATCAGTTTCTCAAGGTGGAACGATCGACGCGGTGTCAGAAAACTTGGTTTCGGATGCAACTCTTGGGAGGTCAAATTCTGATGTTGCCCTGGTCCGAAATCCGGCTTAATCCGGCTCTCTCCCGCTCAATCCGATTTAACCCCGCTGAATCCCGCTCAATCCGAGGCCCACTCCAGCGTAACAGCTCCCAGATGGGGCTTAACATTTCCTTACTCTTTCCGACGAAAACCTCCCAGTAGCTGCCTCCTGAAACCTTGGTGCGCGCCCACGCCGCACGGACCCACCGCAGATGGCCCGCGGAGCAAGACGCTCCGAGTACGTCTTTCCCCTGTGGCAAGGCCTCGGTGTGCCAGTCTCCGCGTGGTGCCGTGCGCGCTCTCTGTCATGATGTCCCGCTCGCTGGTTCTGGTTCTGGCTCCCGCGCGATGCTCGCCCACTGGGATGACCGTGGGGTTTCTAAGTGGACAGGGGGGTTACAAGTGGATGCCAAGGTGGATTCTATCTGGCCCAACCTGGCTTATAAGTGGGCTACCAAATGCCCCAGTAGCTCAGGGAGATCAACGATCTGGGCCACGTGGGCTCCGCTCACTTAGCGGAGTTATGTAACCCCCCTGAGCCACTCGGGGAAGTTGTAATCCACTTATGAGCCAGGTTGGGCCAGATATGACCCACCTTAGCATCCACTTGTAACACCCCTATCCGTTTAGACACTCCCACGGTCATCCCAGCACAAGTGTTTCTTCCTGGTCCTCCGTGGGGGCGCGAGGAGGGTCGCGCTTCGCTGCCCTCGCGGGCCGGGGCCGCGGGGTTTCTCTGCTCCTTGGGGGGGGGGACGGCGCGGGAGCGCGAGAAGGACCGACGGGTGCGCCTCCCCGAGGCTCGAAGCGCGACATCTGCGCAGATGGTCCGCTTGGTAACAAGCTTCAGGGGGCCACATGCGAACCCTACCCCCACCCCCCACGATTTCTGAGTGAACCCCACCCTCCCCCTCAGAGATCGTGGGGGGCAGGGGTAGGGGTCGCATGTGGCCCCCTAAAGCTGCGAGTTCGTCTTTCCCCCTTGGCAAGACTTGGGTGTCCTGGTGTGCGTGCAGGCGGCCCGGCGCCAGAAGGTGGTCCCAGTTGGCCCCACCAGACCCCCTTGATTGGTCTGGGGCAGGTCTGAACCCAAACGGTGTTTTTCCTTCTCGTTTTGTTGCCGTTTTCTCTCGCCTTTGTCGCGAGTCCGCCTTTATACCACAAAACGAAGTCGAAACGAAAACGGCCCACGACATCACCGACGACACCGTTTGGGTCCAGCCCTGGTCTGGGGTGGTCTCCCCAGATCACGCAGATCCGACGACGACGGCGACGACTGGGCCCACGACGTCGACCCTCGTGTAGTTGCCCGAGCTGCCTCGGAGAGCCTCGAGATGCCAGTGATGACGCGTCGACGACGATGTCGACAGTGCCGACGTAAACGACGACGACGGCGGCGACGACGACGATCATTGACGAGATCGACGACGTCGTCGAAGATGACGACATCGACGATGCAGACGCTGGCGACGCAGACGACGCTATCGACGACGACACCCCCGTCGTCGGCGACGGCGACGCCGACGTTGACGATATCGACGACCATCGTCGCAGACATCGACTATGACGACGATGACGGCCACGGCGCCGACGACGATGACGACGATGACGACCACGACGAGGACGAGGAGAAGGAGGACAACGACGGCAGCGACGACGGACGACGACGACGACAACGACGACAACGACGACGGCTATATCGACGACGACGACGTTGTCCTCGTCGACGGCGACGCTGTCCTCGACGGGAGGAGGGACCGGGAATGGGCTCGGAGCAAGAGGAGGAGGAGGAGGAGGAGGAGGAGGAGGAGGAGGAGGAGGAGGAGGGAGGAGGAGGAGAGGAGGAGGAGGAGGAGAGGGAGGAGGAGAGGAGGAGGAGGATGGAGGAGGGGAGGAGGAGGAGGAGGAGGAGGACATTTTTTTTTGACATTCGCTTCGGGGATGAACTAAAGCACAGGCGCGTTCCTCGGACAGCAGCTGACCCCCAGACATAGCCTGGGCCGCTGCCAGTTCCGATTCGGCACCATCGAACTCTACCCCAGGAGGAGGAGAGGAGGAGAGGGAAAACGTCCTGAAACAACTAGCCCGGGCTAAACGCTGCCCATCTTCTAATGAGCCGTGCCCAGGCCAGACGGATCGACGCAGACCTTCCCCAGAACGGGGAGGAGATTCCCAACCCACCCACCTTATCCTCCCCAGACACGAACAATCCCTGAACGCCAACTTGCAGGTTCGGACTTTTGGGCATGGTGAGACCATGGCAAGACCCGCCAGGGAAGGCCACATGCTTTCGCCTGCGACCTGGCCGCCAATTCCTTGCGCTGTCTGGAGGGAGGAAGGAGGGAGGGGAAATGCATCAAGGAGCACGGGAGGGGGAGGAGATCAACTGCTATGCACTGGGGTAACTCACTTCCCACATTCTAATGGGCTGACCACCTAGCAAAGCGAGACCTGACCATCCCACCTTAAGGGATGAAGAAAAGAAATACTAGGGGATTACTTCGCCAGACTTTCCTGGACCCCTGATAGGAGTAAGAATAAACTGGGCTGAAATGCAGCTGCCCTAACTAGCGCCTGACAAAGAAAACTGAAGAAAGGTAACATACCTGCTTCACAGTACTGCCATTCTGGCCAAAAGGATACGGAACGTGCGAAGGTTCAAGAACGCTGGGTAGCTGACGAATGTCCTTCCAAAACGCGAGAACTGACCAACACAAAAGGTTGAGGATTCTACCAAGCACTTGTAGCCATATATACTTCGCTCAACTAAGCCATACACAACCTAGCCTATTTTGCCCACGATGTAATATACATTCTGCCGCTGAACTGAATGACTTGGGTGCTACCATCGACAAGTGATGCTCCGTTTACTTTGAAGAAGAGAAGTCTGAGCTGGATCTGCTCCTCCGAGGAACAGGCGCACTGCCTGAAGCTGTGCTTATATTATTTACACGACTGAGCTCACCCTGGAGTGTCTCCAGCTGCTGCTGGAGGTGTTTGATCTTGATAGCCTGGAGACTACACTTGAGCTCCAGAGGTCTTGGATTGGACGGGGCTGAATCATTGGAAGGGGCTGCATCACTGTGCCAACCTTTGCACGTTTACTAGCGCGCTCTGGAGAAGTCGAACGAGGACGGTCGACATGTTTTGCACTGACAGAAGGTGAATCGGAATCGCTACCACTGTCCAAAACATCTGGAATTCTGTCATCCTTCTTAGAGATCTGAACCTTCACCTTAGGCTCGACGTTGAATTCATCGCATACTGCCAAATAAAGATACTTGTCTTTCCCCCTGTACTTGTCCAAGAACATGTCCAACTGATCCAGCATTTGAGGTTCGTACTGATGGAAGAAATCCGAGATCAGTAACTTGAGCTGATGCCTGACTTTGAAAACCTGGCCCTGCTCACTGTCGGGTTCTACCTGGCCAGTGGCCTTGACTTTGGGATCAGACTTCACTGCCACAAGAGGCGGCGGTGATGAGTGCGCCTTCTCACTGTCGGCTTCTACCTGAACAGTGGGCTTATCTTTGGACTGAATCTTCTCACTGCCAGATGCTACCTCAGCAGTGGGCTTTTCTTTGAGCCCAGTCTTCACTGCTACTGGTGGTGGCGGAGGAGGCGGAAGTGGCTGGGAACTCTTCCCATGCCAAGGGAAACCGCACTTACAGAAAGGTTGAGAAGCAATTCTGCTTGGCCAGATCCAACCGTCTGGTCTGCCACGCGGGCAAAGCAACTTAGTATGAGTGACAACTGGAGTTCCTACTCCTTCTTTGAAAACCCAGGGCGTCCTGGACGACATGGCGGCAACTGCGGCGGTGGCTGTAGGCGAAAAAGGGGGCAGGGCTGCTCCTGCCCAGCTGGCTTGAGCCAAAATGGCTTGAGCCAAAATGGCTACGGGGGAGGAGGAGGAGGAGGAGGAGGAGGAGGAGGAGGAGAGGAGAGGAGGAGAAGGAGGAGGAGGAGGAGGAGGAGAGGAGGAGGAGAGGATGAGGAGGAGGAGGAGGAGGAGGAGGAGGAGGAGGAGGAGGAGGAGGAGGAGGAGGAGGAGGAGAGGAAGGAGGAGAGGAGGAGGAGGAGGAGGAGGAGGGAGGAGAGGAGGGAGGGGAGGAGGGAGGAGGAGGGAGGAGGAGGAGGAGGAGGGAGGGAGGAGGAGGAGGAGGGAGGGAGGAGAGAGGAGGAGGAGGAGGAGGACCGCGACGCTTTGAACTCTCCCCCGAAGGCCCTCGCGCGCAGCGCGCCGCCGCCGCCGCCCTCGGGCCGCGCCGCGCGCGGTGGCCCCCCGCCCGTATCCATCGACCCGAACTTCAAGGCCCGGCCGCCCGGGAGCGCAGGGAGGGTCGACGCCGACGTCGTCGTCGTCTCCCCCGTCGTCGTCGTCGTCGTCGTCGTCGTCGTCGTCGTCGTCGTCGTCGTCGTCGCCGTCGTCGTCGTCGTCGTCGTCGTCGTCTGTCGTCGTCGCGGTGGTTGTTGTCGTGGTCGCCGTCGTCGACGTGGTTGTCGGTCGTCGTCGTGGTCGTCCTCGTGGTCGCCGCAGTCACCCTCGCGGTCGTGGTGGTGGTGGTGGTCGTCGCCGTCGCGGTTGTCGCTGTCAGTCGTCGTCGTCGTCGCCGCCGCAGGCGTGCTCGCTCGCCTCCTCCCCACGGGGGGGGGCGGCGATCGCTCCTCCTCCTCCTCCCTCCTCCTCCTCCTCCTCCTCCTCCTCCTCCTCCTCCTCCTCCTCCTCCTCCTCCCTCTCCTTCTTCTCCTCCTCCTCCTCCTCCTCCTCCTCCTCCTCCTCCTCCTCCTCCTCCTCCAATCGAGCAGGGACTCTGGCCCAAAGTGCTCGGCAAGGCTGAGACTCTCCAGAGGAGTGGGAAACAACCGGCACCACAGAAGGTGCACGCGGATTTTAATCATATCTCTACGCGATTAGCAGAATGCTCAGAATGCTCCTCCTCCTCCTCTCCCTCCTCCCCTCCTCCCCCTCCTCCTCCTCCTCCTCCTCCTCCTCCTTCTCCTCCCTCCCTCCTTCCTCCTCCTCCTCCTCCTCCTCCTCCTCCTCCTCCTCCTCCTCCTCCTCCTCCTCCTCCCCCTTCTCCTCTCCCTCTTGGAGAGACCTTCTCGCCCGCGCCGCGAGAGGCGGGCCTCATCAGCGGCGGGCTCGGCGAGGCGCCGCCGGCACCCGAGGGCGGGGCGGTCGCCTCAGGCCCCCCAGGGGGGGGGGGGGCAGACGACAACGACGACAGACGACGACGACGACGACAGACGACGACGACGACGACGACACAGACGACGACGACGACGACGACGACGACGACGACGACGACGACGACGACGATGACGACGACGACGACGACGACGACGACGGCGGCAATGCCGACGACGGCAATGCCGACGACGACGACGACGACGACGGACGACGGCGATGGCGGCGACGCCGACGACGACCAGCCGCCGACGACGGACGACTGACTGCAGCGACCGTCGATGGCGAACGGAATTGAGGGACGATTGACGACGGCGGACGAGACCCGCTAACCTCCAGCGATGGAGGATCGCGTCGTACTGCCGATGCACCCGCGACGTGGCGCGACCGTGGGCTGTGGCTGTCCATCCCGACGTCGCCGATGCGTCGACGATGCGTCTCGTGAAGAAACTACGTAAACACCAACTTGAAGCGCTCCGCGCGCATGTCTTGGATCCGCGTTGTGGCCCACCTTAGCCGCGCTTCCGGCGCCGCCCCTGGCGCGCTCCATGCGCCAGGGAGGGGGTGTCCGGCGCTGATTCAAGAACTCCGCGCGGAGCGCCAAACGTTTATGTTTATATCGTTTTTTCTTCTAGCGTCGACGACTGTGTGCCACCTCGAATGCCCGTCTGCTCGACTTGCCTCGGCAGGCATCGGCAAGGTCGACTACGGCGGCGCCAGCAATATGCGCGGCGACTTTGGCGGCGGGGGCCGCGGGGGCGGCGGAGGTCGGAGGGAGGAGAAGCGATACCAACACCACCAAGGGGCCCACCGCCAGCGAGGAGGTCCACGATGCCTCCCCGAGCCGGAGGCTGGGGATGTCTCGAGCGAGAGGCATCTCCTCGCCCTGTTGGTGTTGGTGTCGCCTTTCCTTGTTCCTAGGCGGAGGTGGCGGCCGCGACTTCGGGGGCGGAGGCGGAGGCGGCCGCGACTTCGGAGGCGGAGGCCGCGGTCGGGGGTTGCCAGAGGGGACCTTGCCCCGAGTGGGTCCCAGCTTTTTGTTTGGGGAGGCCCAGAGGGCCTCTCTAGAGCACCCCTCACGAGGCTCAAGTCGGGCACGTCCCTCCACGGGAGGAATATTTGAAACATACAGTCGGGCCGCTGAAGAAGGAACCCTTTTCGCTGGGGAGGGGCTCAGTGATCCTCAATTTCTTTACAGCTTGTCTTAGGTTCTCCTTAGGCGTTCTATGCGAGATCGAAGTTTAACTTATGGAAAAAAAGGAGCCTCGTTCGTTATTCAGGGTTCCTTATGACAGCGTTTCGACTGTAGGTAAAAATAGCCAGGGGATGATTTTTTGACAATTTGTTTTGTGTGACTAGTTGTGATTCTTCTTCCAAGATCCGCCTGTGGGGGGACATGCCCGACCTGACACGAGGCCCACAGGACCCTATGTGGGTCCAACACGGCACAAAGCGTTGGGGGCACGATTGGCCATGATCACGTCTGGCAACCTCCGACGCGGCTTCGGAGGCGGAGGCGGTCAGAGGAGGAAAAGGGACCGATACCGCCACCCCTCCATCGTCGCCACGGCTGGATTCGCCTCGAAATCCTGGACATAACGCACCCGAGGAAAGATTCACTGAGATGACCGTGGGGGTTTCCAATGTATAGGGCGGTTACAAGTGTATACCAAGGTGGGTCATATCTGGCCCAACCTGGCTTATAAGTGGGTTACAAATTCCCTGAGTGGCTTGGCGGGGGTAGATGACTCCGCCAAGTGGGCGGAGCCCACTCAGCCCGGATCGTTCACCCCCCTGAGCTCCTTTGAGGCACATGCAGCCCGCTTCTAGGCCAGCGCGGGCCAGAATGCAGCCCAGCTGGGCATCCACCCGTCACCCCCCCTATCCACTCAGAGACCCCCACGGTCATCCCGGTACAGCGCAGCGACATCGGTGCCCTTTCGATTTCCCCAGGCGGTGGGGGCGGCCGCGGTGGGGCGCCCGCGGCCAACGGCTACGACGCGGGGGACTCGCGCGGCCTGGCGGCCGCGTCGCGCAGACGCAGCCCGTCCAGGAGCCCTGCCTTCGGGAGGGGGAAACACACTCAGACACAATTGATCGTCGATCCCCTCGAAAACATCGGAGGATATGGGAAGTGGGGGGGGGTAAGAGGAATGCCCAGAACAGATTGAAACATGTGGGACATCCTGGGATTTGTGTGTATTTATTTTTGTGTGTCCCTGGGCCCCTTCGAGCAAACTGGTCCAGGAGCTCTTCCTGAAATCAGGGTGTGTAAGCATGCCGATCCTGGGGTTGAGTCGGGCCTGTCCCTCTACAGGAGGAATATCCAAGGATAGTCAAAAAATAGTCGGGGGACGATGTTTTGACAATTTTGGGGCATGCTTCGAATCTGTTTTACTATTTTTCATTCTTCGTCGAAAATCCGCCTGTGGGAGGACACGCCCGACCTAATCCTGGGGGGGCCCTTCATCCGTTTGCGCCCTGTTGGACCTCCCTGGTGGCCCGTTTCGCCGGGGCCGGATTCGCCTCGGAAGTTCTGGTCGCAGTGCGACCCGGGAGAGGTCCGTGGAGCCTCGACGTGTGGCCCATCGGTCCTGTGTCCCATCGCGTCCAGCGTACGCACCTCATCTCATCTCATCAGCAATCAGCATGCAGGCGTGCGACGGCGCGCATCGTCAGATACATATCCGCGCGTGAGATTTATGAGAAGTATGGTGGTTTAGGACACTTGGCTCAATACAGTGGTTGTTTGAGAGGATGGCTTGATCATGCGGTATGGAAACGTGGATTAAGAGGGGGCGTGGAGGAGGAGACCGAGAGGGTGGGCCTTCTCTTCCGCGCCACGGCGCCATCTTCCCCAGCCCCGCCGGGGCCGCACCGCACCAGGGGATCAGTATCCGTATCCGTATCCTATTCCACCCGTCGACCGTTTCTAGCTCAGCTGAGTCAGGCCAGTGGGCGTAGGCCCTTCACAGCAACGTCTCGAAGGAAACAGCGTTACCCGTGAGGCAGGTTTTGCTGAGCTAATCGAAGTCACTTCGCGCTGCAGTTGGGCAAACATAGCATGCTAGCTGGATTTGAAGTAGAGCCGAGCTCAAGCTAAGTTCATCGTATTGAGATCTGTCTGAAGCAGCCCCCGCCGCAGTGCCATCGTAGCAGCGCTGCAGGCAGGGGTTTCATCTTGAGACCCGTTCAGTTTTACATATTTCCTGTCTGAACTGGCGCGGGTCTTAAACATATTCTTCTTGTTTGCAGCCTCGTTCGTACCAGTTTCGTTTATTCTTCCTCATTTGTCCACTTTCCCCATCCTTTCTGAAACACATGTTGAGTGCTTCTTGGAGGCCTCTTTGGATCTGTTTGTGTTCCTTTCGCGACCCACTTGCAGGCCTCTTGTGGGCTGGTTGGGGATCTCGTGGCCGTCATGTGGCCGATGGTTCGTTCTGCCGAACTCTCCCGAACAGGCTGGGTTGCACTATCTCGGGGACGTCTGGGCGGGTCTTTGGGCCGTCTTGCAGCCCTCTTGGGTCGTCTTGGAGGATTCTTGGGTAGTCTTGCAGTCATCCTGGTGGGGCCCACTCTCTGAGCCTCTTCCAAAGCCATCTGCAGCCGAAAGGCATCGGAAGCAACAACATATACAAATATGCTTGTTTGTTCTGCCCGTCCGGGCCTCGCTGGAGGCCTCTTTGGGCGTCTCTCTGGGACTTCTCAAGGCCTTCTCGGGCCTCTTGGGGGGTCACTAGGTCGTCTGGGGTCGGTCTTGGGGCATATTTCAGCCGTCCTGGGGCGGTGTTGGTGTGTCTTGGAGCTGCCTTAGAGCCATCCTGAGGCCGAAAAAAGGAACAGGAAGCGAAGCCATGGGGCTGCTTCCTGGACCCTCGCAAGCAGGGGGTGGTCGACCAAACAAGTCGAAGCACCTAGACACGTCTGGTGATCGCTTTCTTATTCATTATTTTGCCGATCGGCGCGGGCCCTCGCACCCCCCCCCCTCCCCCCCCATGGAGTCGATCTTGGCTGTTTTTGGCGCTTGTTTCGAGCAGGCAGAGTCTCCCCCATGTGACGCACTTTTGCAAACAGTCGCACTAAGCAGAGGTCTGGAGCCACTCCCCACCCCTTCCGCCCAATGCTGGAACGCCGAGCAAGAAACCGTTCACCATCTGAACGTCTGGATCCTCGAGCCTCGGCCCTCGCACTCCTCGGGGGCCCCTCCCTCCGGTCAGGCGCCGGGACCGCAGCAGGCGGAGGCGCAGCCGCTCCCGCAGCCGCCGGGACCGCAGGCGCCGGAGCAGCCCGAGCGAGAAGCGCCAGCGCTACAAGAGCCCGAAGGGAAAGGAGCGAGAGGGGGGAAGGGCATCTCAGGCACCCCCGGGACTTCCTCTCGGAGAAGGAAAGGGCACCCATATCGCTACCCTTCGGGCATGTCCCCCGTCCTTCGGCCTCCTGGGAGGCCCTCGTCGCCACCGCTGGGTTCGCCCTGAAATCCTGGCCAGGACGCATCCCGGGGAGGTGTCCGCAGGGTAGCGGTATCGATACCGTCTTGGTCTCCCCAAGATTTTTTTCGGGCAGTTCCTCGGCCCAAGAGCTGTCGTTCCGAAGGGTCGGGGGACCCGGGGATAGTCACCCCTCCCGAGGGGGTCACGCGGAGGCGCTCCATGCCGAGCCTGGGCGCCTCCCGGATGTGACGATCTCCCCGAGGTGGGCTCCAGATCGTTGGCCAGTGGAGGTCGACATGTCTCTTGCTCAAGTTTACGTCGGGCGTGCCCCTCTACAGGAGGAACATTCAGAAGTAGTCTGAGAATAGTATGGGGCGAGATTTCTATGATTGCCCCAATTATGTTTGGAGATGTTTGGGCTATTTTCCCGTCTTCTTCGAAAGTCCGCCCGTAGGAGGATAGACCCGATGTAGGCGCAAGAGCAGACCCAGACCAGCACCCTCCCCTCGTTCTCGCCTGCTTGTGGCTCGGGCCCTCGCCGCCACGGCTGGACCCGCCCCAGAAATCCTGAGGTCAGAGCGGACCTTGGCAGAGGTCCTTGGCGGCAGCAGCAGCGCCTACACTGGGCGTTGAAAGGGCCAAGCGCAGGGCTCATTTCGATTCCCCCGATTCGATCTGATTCGATTTCGATTATTTCCGATTCTGATTCGATTCGATTTCGGATTCCGGTTTTGGTTCCGATTTCTTGTTGAAGGCTTACTAGGCTGCCGATTTCCGCCGATTCGACTTTTCCTGACTTGGCTGCCGATGTCCGCCGATCCAATTCACTTCGATCGCCGATCCGACCGCAAGCGTCATCGCTTCCGCCGCGGAAGGCGGCGGAAGGGCAGCGGAAGGTCGGCGGAGGTAAAACAAGGTCGCTTCCGTCGGCGGAAGGCGGCGGAGGGGCGGCGGAAGGTGGCGGAAGTAAAGCTCGCGCGCCCCCAAGAGATGAACAGATGTTTGGATTCAGGGTCTCCAGAATCGGCCATATCTCTTTCTGATTCCACGAGGAGGGGGCAGCCGCGAGCATCAGCTCAGACAGCGGCAAGCGCAAGAAGGACGCCACCTCCTGCGGCCCGCTGCGCATCGAACGCGCGCGCGCTCGCTCACCTCGCAGAATGCTCGGACGACGCAGATCTGTTCGGAAACTGGAACATCGACATCACCAGTGGCGGGGGATGTTTTTTCAATCCCAAGACTTTTCGAGGGTCGCGGGCGACGTCGGGGTGGTGTGGTGTGTACTTTTCCCCCGTTTTCCAAGGGAAACAACCAAGCATGTATATACCAGGATCCCGTATACACCAGGATCCGCGCTCCTGTGCGAATTGCAGCGCAGGGTCGGAAAACACGTCGGTGTATGGAGTTCGATTCCCTGTCCGTGGGCGGATGCCCTCTGCGTCCCTCGCGGAGTGCGAAGCTCTGCGGCGCCGAAGCTGTGCGGGGCGGCCGCGCCACTGATCGTTCCCCTCCTGCGCTCGGCCTCATCCGCTCCGCGATTGAGGGGTCTGGGCGATCGCCTCAACGAGAGCCCCACCGCATTACACTGCGTTGCATTCCTTTCCATTTCATTGCATTCCATGCCCTCTCCGACAAATTTGTTTTTTGAGGCAGCTTATGTAGGCAGGACGGTGCCTGACCCTTGATCTTTGTGGTATGTTTCGTATTGTAACGTAGCATGTGCACGTGTGTGTTGTTTGTTCATCTGTCTCACACTTACCCGGTGCCGCGGCGCCAACCTGCGACGCCCCCGCCGGCGACAGCTGCAGGTCCGATGTCCGATGTGCACTGGATGCCATTCTCGGCCTCGTCCTCGTCCTTCTCGTCCGCTTCGTGCTGGTCCGCTTCCTGCTGCTCGAGGGCGGCTGCCCGCCCCAGGAGAGTTCGGCATCCCTCAACCTTTGAGGCCGCCGTCAAAGTTTCTCATCTCTGCCAGTCCAGCGCTCGTTTGCACTGCCGCGCCGTTGGTGGTGCATCCGTGGCGGTGCAAGTTTTGGCCGCCCCAGGACAAGGACAAGAAGAAGAAAAAGAAGAAAAGGAAGCACAGCAGCGACAGCAGCAGCTGAGCCCTCACCTCGTGGGCCTGGCGTCAGCCTGGGATCATTCCAGCCGTCTGGGGGGACTGGAGGTTGGGACGACGCCACCGAATGTGTGCGGTCGATTTGAAGGGTTGCCAGCTACCCCAGAATTGTGTTTTGTAATTGTCGTTGTAGTCGTGGTGAACATCTCATTCCTTCTCATTAAAGGGTCTCTTGTCACTTCAGTGCCGGCACTCGAGATGCATTGTTGATTCTTCGCGTGTCCCCATCAGTCCGTCCAGATTCTTGGGCCGACTTTGGGCAACATGCGAGAGCGTTTTTTTGCCCCAAAGGTGCTTGCACTTAGGGGTTTCTCAGGTTTTGGCCGCGTTGGCGCCCGCGCCCACTAGTGGGCGCCTCGTGGGCGCCCTCGTGTGCCGGGTGGGTTTTCCGAGGATCTTCGCGTTGGCGCCCATGCCCGCTTCGTGGGCGCCCCGTATGATGGGCTGATTTCCTGAGGATTTGCCGCGTTGGCGCCCGTGTCCACTCGTGGGCGCCTCGTGGACGCCCCCGTGCGCTGGGTGGGCTTCCCGAGGTTTTCTCGCCGCGTGGGCGCCCCTGTGGGCTTACTCGGCGTGGCCTGCAAAGCATTGCATCACATAGCTTGCGCCATACAGCTGGCACCGCGTAGCTCACACCGCATAGCTCACACCACACAGCTTGCACGTCATAGCGTGCACCACGTAACTCACACTGCCTTGCGTTCGCTACACTGCTCACAGCCGCATAGATTAAGCAGCAGAGCTCACACCCGACAGCTCACACCGCATATATTACACAACATAGTTTACACCACATCGCTTGCACTTTATAGTTCACCCATACTTCACGCCACATGGCTCACCCCACATAGTTTACACAACATCGGTTTCACCACGTAGCTCACACCGCAAATCTTACACCATATAGCTCACACCACATGGCGTAGAACATACCGTTCACCCTCTTGGTGCGTCTTGGCGCTCCCTATCCGTGTTGGAAAAGTCACAAGCATGCGGGGCGCCCCACACGCAACAGCCCCTGTGTTTTCTGCCTGTGGGCCCCTGGAGGAGTGTCTACAATATACTCCCCAGGGCTCTGGGACGTGTCATTTCGTGCCTCGAGTCACGGTGGCGGATGTAGACATGCTCTTGATTTCATGTGAGCCGCGCGTCGGCATTGGCGGACTTATTGGCGCACCCTGGTGTTGCTTTCCTGCTGTTTCCGTTCGTGGGTAGTTGTGTGTACGTGTGTAAGTTTGCTTGTTTGTTCGTTGGTTTGTTTGTTTGGTTGTTTATTTGTTTGTTTGTTTGTTTGTTTGTTTGTTTCTTTGTTTGTTTGTTTGTTTGTGTGTGTGCGCGTTTGTGTGTGTGTGTGTGTTTGCGTGTGTGTGTGTGTGTGTGCGTGCGTGCGTGCGTGCGTGTTCGTTCATTCGCTCCACCGCGTCAAACGGGAACACAATAGACGCACACCAACTCGAGTTATCTGCGCGCCACGCGAGCAATACCGGCGGCGGTGGCCGAGGGGGCGATGCGCGGGTGGGGCACGGTCTATTGTGCAGCCACCCAAGACCGACTGACACCCGAACGCACGCTGCTCTAAAGCCCCATCCGTCAAGGACCAGCCTCTTCCAAGCCCTGGTGGAACCGACCGTTGCCAAAGACGCGCGTCGCATCACACGAGCACGAACCAGCTCCCACGACACCGCCGGGAAGGCGTGCGTGCACGCTGTCGTGGTGTGTTGACCGCTGTGGCGTGTACGGTGGTCAGGCAAATCCGGCGGACGCGGTGCGGGCGCACCGCACCGCACGACTCCGCACAGACGCTCTGGACTCTTTCGTACCGTCGCGCCTGAACGGGGAAGCTGGGATGCGCCGCAGTGCACCGACGGGCCATCGCTCCTGAGCGAGGCCCCTGGGACAGCGCCGAACGACAACGACGGAGGGGAGGGAAGGATGAGGGAGGAATGAGGGAGGAGGGAGGAGGGAGGGAAGGAGGGAAGGAGGGGAGGGAAGGAGGAGGGAGGAGGAAGGAGGGAGGGGAGGGAAGGAGGAGGGAGGAGGGAGGGAGGAGAGGGGAGGGAAGGAGGAGGGAGGGAGGGAGGGAGGAGAGGGGACCCGCAGGAAGGTCTCATCGACCGTGGTCGCGCTCCGCCGGCACGGCGGGCAGCACCACGACGTGCCCGGCGAGCGCAGCCGCCCCCTACGGCGCAGCTGGCAGCCAGCAGAAGCAGCCGCACGCCTTCCCAGCGCCGAGTCTGCGGAGATCCCAAGCCCACCAGACGGATCCCACGAGCGTGTTTCTTTGTTGCTTGGGGCATGGTGGGCATCATAGCCCCCGGCCCCCCCTCCCCCTCCCCTACAGCGTAACGCCCCTCCCCCCCCCAGTGCGCTCCGGGCACTGCCGCCGTGCGCACCGCGGGGGGGGAGGCGTTACATTATACCTCCCCCCTGGCCCATCCCCTCCCCCTATAATGCCCATTATCGCCGAAAATGAAGAACACGCTCCAAGCCTACCAGCCGGACACCATGAATCGGCCGACGAGGAGGCGGAAGGATCAGCATACACGAGCATCCAGCCCGGCACTAGCAACCGGCGACCGGCTCCCACCAACATAACAACGACGGCGAAGTCCCAGGAGGCCCGCCACAACACCAGATCGCCATCCCACAAGGTCCTCGACCCACGCCACAATGTGGCTCGGGGCCGCGCCGGGGCGGCAGAGAGAGCTGTGAGAACACATGCCGTTTCATTACCTGGAGAAGACACAACAGCGATCCAGGATGGAAGCGGCTACGTTTCCGCCACGAACGCGGACACAACGGACCAACATGACACACATCGCAGCATGAAGCAGCAAAGCTGCGCGTGTGCGTGTGCGCGTGGCCAGCGCAGCACATCACAGCACTCCACAGCACACCACAGCACAGCACACCACAACACAGCACATTACATCACACGCCCGTTGACAATGGGTGTGTGTGTGTGAGTGTGTGTGTGTGTTTGTGCGTGTGTGTGTGCGTGTGTGCGTGTGCGTGTGTGCATGTGTTGTGCGTGTGTGTGTGTGTGTGTGTGTATGTGTGTGATTGTGTGTGTGCGTGCGTGTGTGCGTGCGTGCGTGCGTGCGTGTGTGTGTGTGTGCGTGTGTGCGCTTGTGTGTTTGTGTGTGTGTGTTTGTTTGTATGTGTGTGTGGTTGTGTGCGTGGGGGTGGGTCGCGGCGGTGGAAGGGTTGTTTTTTCAGTTGTGCGTGTTTCCAGTACTCTCATTTTCTGATTGTCGTCCATGCTAGGGGATGGCACTGTCGTCCGTGAAAAAACTTGATGATGGAACGTTCGATGGTGTGCGTGTGTATGTGTATGTTTTGTGCAATGTATATATGTACACATGTATGTCTACACGTGTATATATATAGACATATGTATATGCACCGGTGTTCTTTACCATCCAAGGCGCCGTGGCAAGGCTGTTCTCAGGAGGGGATTGTACCGTGTGGGGAGCAAGAGTGCAAGGATTCCCCCCCCCCTCCGGCTGGCGGGAGCCATCTGTTCACCGTCCCAGGCCATTTGGTTGCTCTCCAGATCTTTCTGCGCATTTCGCGGTAGCCATGTGGGTCGGGAGGGGCGGGGTATCGGGTGGGATCTTGGCAAATACCAGCTGCAGGCCCGTCCAGCATTCTGCTGGTGCTCGCCTTTGCTTCTAGGGTGTCCAGGGTGCTGGCAGTGTGAGCATGCCAGCGCCGAACTACTCTCGTGGTACCTGCATGACGATCAGATTTTGACGGCGGGCTGGCGGACTCCACGGTATGGTAGCCTTCTGGCTTGAACACCCGTGCTAATTCTGACCTAGGGGATGAATGGCTCCCACATCTGCTCGCCTCCCCCCTTCCGCTCATCCCCCTCCCTCCCCCTCCCTCCCACCCCCCTCCCCATCTCCCCTCCTTTTCCCAACTCTTCCCCCTCCTTCTCCCCAACTCTTCTCATCCTCCCTTCCGTATCCTACTGAGGGAAGGATGGGGCAAGGAGGGGGGGGGAAAGGATGATAATGTTGATGATGCTAACGACGACGATGATAATGATGCTGATGGTGATGATGCTGCTGATGATGCTGATGATGGTGATGATGCTCATGGCGATGATGAGGAGGAGGAGGATGATGAGTATGCGTATGATGATGACCATGATGTTGATCATGAGGCTGATGATCATGCTGCTGATGATGATGATGATGATGATGATCATGATGATCATGATGATGCTGAGGATGCTGATGATGACACGGACGCTGATGCTGATGTCGTTGATGATGATGTTGATGTTGATGTTCATGGTTATGTTGTTCATACTGGTGATGATTACGAGGAAGGCTGCTTTGTTGGTGAGGACGAAGGTGATGCTAATGATGGTGATGATGATGATGATGATGATGCTTGTGATGCTGATGCTGAGCATGATGCCGATGCTGATGATGATGGTGATGCTGCTGATGATGCTGATGCTGATGATGACGATGATGCTGTTGCATGATGCTGAGGATGAGGATGAGGACACCGCTTATGATGTCGCTGCTCATGCTGGTGATGCTGATGATGATGGCGGTGGTGGTGGTGCTGGTGCTGGTGATGATGAAGCTGCTGATGCTGCTGCTGAGGATGATGATGCTGAGAAGGAGGTGGAGGAGGAGGATGCTGATGCCGATGATGATGCTGAGATGCTGGTGATGCTGAGCATGAGGAGGAGGAGGAGAAGGAGGAGGAGGAGGAGGATGAGGATCACGACGATGATGATGATCATGATGATGCTGATGATGATGCTGATGCTGATGCAGATGATGATGCTTATTGCGATGATGATGATGATGATGATGATGATGATGATGCTGATGCTGGTGATGCTGATGCTGATGCTGACGATGATAGTGATGACGGGGATGATGATGGTGATCATGGTGATGATGCTGATCCTGATGATGAGGATGCTGCTAAGCATGATGATGACGAGGAGGATGATGC